CCGAACTGCATCTGCAACAATCCACTTTCCAAAGCGTGCTGCATGACAGTAAGGCAAGTCTCATCCCTGGTCCACGGTCAGAAGAGGGCCTAAGGTACCTGCATTTACAAAGGCACTTCCAACTAGAGCCTCTCATCTGGTGCCAGCCGTATTTTACAGATAGAGAAACCAACATTCAGAGCGGTCCAGTGAACAGATGCTCCCCGGAACTGTAGTGTCCTGGGTTTGGGGGCCGGGGTATGGGTGGAGCCCCCCCAGCTCAGGGTTCTCTCTCCTTTTCCGGATCCTGCTCTCTGGTAGCAGCTCTCAAGCAGGTGCAGATTCCAGCGGGTGCCAGGCACATTCAGATCGAAGAGTTGGAGAAGGTCACCCACCGCATTGGTGAGTGCTGGCAGCCGAGGGGGCCACTGCACAGGCCAGGGATCCAGTGTGGAGGGGATCGTGCGAAATTGAATAATGGGAAGAAGTTTGTTTAGAATTCATTTTAAAATTGAAATTGAATAGGTAACTCATTACCTGGCTCACATTTCTAAGGTCCCAAAAGGGAACCAGTGAAGAATCCATCTCATGGCCCCCTCCGGGACTGCTCGGTCTCCATCGCCAGGGCAACTACTGTTTGAAATTTCCTGTGCACATGAACACCTTTTAAAGAGAAACTACTTTCACAGACTGTATCAGTTAAACATTTTACTTTTAATTGGTATGATTTCACACAGCCTCAGATTAACCAAAATGAACTGGGTAACATATCACTCCAAAACAACTTGGCTTCAAATAATAATAATGGCTTATTGCTACGATTCTGTGGGGAAGCAACTCAAGCTGGGCTTAGCTGGGGGTTCTTCTGCTAGTCTTACCAGGTCACCTGGACTTTCCTCACAAGACTGCAGTTTGGTGGGTCTGGTGGGAGTTGGTTGGGGGAGGAAGGTCTCACACACATGCCTGCTGGTTGGTACAGCCTGGGACGACTTACCTGGTGTCTGTCACGTGGTACTCAGGAGTAGCAAGAAAGGGCCAGCCCAGTGTCCAAACAACTTTCAGGCCTTCGCTTGTCTCATGGTTTTTAAGGTCTTATTGGCCAAAGAAATTCACAAGGTCAAGCCCTGATTCGAGGGCTAGAAACCCAGACTCTCTCCTGTTGGGAAAGAGGTAAAGTCAAAGTATAATGGGCCATGTATACAAGAGTGGGGGGGATTTATGTCCATTTATGCAGACTACCACGTGGACCCTTAGATTAACTTTATTGTAATGATACTTAAACACAGAGTTTACTAACTAGTTGTCTACCTCTTGTGCTGATAAAACTTATACAACAGCGTAGTCAAGACAAATGATAAATTAGAGCCTCCTCAAAATTAAATCAATAAAATCCAAACTAAGATCATTAATGTCACCAGAGAGATGTCTGCCAAGATCCCAAAGTGGGGGTGGCGTGTGTGGTTGGGGACAGTATGCTCACCCGCCGACTGGGAAGGCACAGGTGGGAAGAGTGGCAGATAGACAGACAGTGGAACCCGAGGTCCCCCTGGGAAAGGCTTGGGTGTCACATCCACCATCCCCCTAAGGAAGGACTGGCTCATGGCCCCACTGAGGGGAATAGAAATCTGTGTGGCCCTCTCCCCCCTGCCGCCGCTGCCCAGTGGTGAAGAACCAGGTCACAGGGAGCTTCATCCTCAACCCCAAGGGCAAGGACGCCACCAGCCGGACCTTCCTGGCCATGGGCCTGGAGTGGGAGTACCTGGTGGAGGACTCACATGACAGCCTCAAGACCAGCGGCCCCTTGCCTGAAGCCATCACTGTCCTGGTGAGGCCCTGCCACCCACACCGCCTGGGTCAGAGGCGGGAATGCAGCTGGGCACAGTGGCTGGTGCTGGGCACCATAGCAGGACTTGGCTGGGAGCGACCCCAGTCCAACCTTCCAGCTCACTGGCCCCACTGCGGAGCAGGCCTGGGCTGTTCTAGCGTCTGCAGCAGCCGGGGCCAAGGCCAAGGCTAAGGCCAAGGCAGCCTCTGTCCTGGGCCAGCCTCCTGATTTGTGTCCGGAGACTGAACCACGCCCTGCCACAGCCTGGCCAGTGTGGAGGGAAAAGGAAATGATGGCCCCTCTGCTATGTCCCTCTGCTGTCAGGCCGAGGACGCCGCACACAGTGTCCTTGATGCAAGGCCACCAGTGGGGCTGGGAGGGAGGACTTGGGCAGCGGGGATAAGCCAGCAAACAAAGCCAGGGTGGCTCCGTTGGCGGTGCCTGGGCCCTGACTCAGGCCGGGAAACCTTGGGCAGCCCTGCTCCCAGTGTCCCCTTCACTTGTGAGGGAGTCCTCATCCAGCCCCCTCACCCCCATTCCCAGTAGACCCAGGGCCATCCTATCAGAGCGGACTGCTAGAATTGCAGGCCTGCGGGAGGCAGCAGTCTCCCCCCCCCC